GTGTGTGTGTGTGTGTGTGTGTGTGTGTGAAAGAATGGAAAACAAACATCAGTTTTTACGTATCACAGAGCTTCTTGCGTCTATAAACTGATACAAAAATATTCTGTGAACCCTGGAAATAGTTTTAATCGTTTGACAGCCATAATTTCCAAATTTTGTGCTGGAGTTGGAGAGGTGTAGATGCTGTACGTGAAATGAAATATGTAAACAGTTTTCAAAGCCCAAAGGAAGGCACTCATGGAACTTTCTCGTGGACCGCTTTCTGTTTTAAATTCCCCAAATCAGCATATCTCAATCGTGAGGACTGAACTTACCTGCACCTCAAGTAATGCAAAGTAAGATCATCTTGTTCAAGCCATGGCCCTTTATTAAATTTCAGCATTTCAATGTCTTCAATAATCTGTAGGTTAAAAGAGGAGAATCAATTCCTATCAACCTACAAACCGAAAACCTTTTAATTGGTGGGGAAGGCTTGAACCCGATGCCTTCAGGGTACAAAGCCCCCACCCGCCCAACGTTCTCAACATAAAAAAGTGGAGAATTTCTGCTTTTATCTTTTGCAAAGTTAATCGGATTTCAAAGAAGCAAAACAATTTCTTCTGCTGTTGCTTCTCACATGATAGTTAAACGCTTGAACAACTTTTTACCTTTGCAACACATCCAGCCTTTTGCTTGTTTAAATGCTAGTTCCTTCTACTTTATTTTTTTTTTAAAATACCCCTGCTTTCCCTTAGCATAACTCGACTTCTGTTGGCCCGTTTTAGTCTGATTTCTTTGGGGCATAAGCGGGTCCAATATAGTCCTACAAAGCCTTATACGCAAGGGAGGGTAGGGGGTGTTACCCCCCCCCACTTACTCTCTCCAGACTGTCCACTTCACTGGCTGTATATTGCAAGACTTCAGAGGTTTCACTAGAAAGGAAAAAAGAGCAGCAACCGGTCATTTGGTTTAGAAAATACAAGGACGTTACGTCTTCTAGGAGTTCATTATTGCTCCTGCAACTCTGTGTCTCAGGATGGGAGAAGACCCGGCACGTTTGGCAGAGAACAACTACAATGTTATTTTTATTCATTTGAATTTTATCCTGCATTTATTACCTTATGAGTAATTCAAGGCAGTAAACGTTCCTCCTACTCTTTCTTCCTCCTATTTTCCCCACAACAACCCTGTGAGGTGGGTTGAGAGAGAGAGAGAGAGACTGACCCAAAGTCCCCAGGCAGCCTTTGGGCTAAAAGTGAGACTAGAATTCAGCACCTGCTGGTTCCTAGGCCAGCATCTTTAACCACTACACCAATCTGGTTCCCTTCATAAGCAACAGGACCTTCGACGCATTTAAAGATTTAGCTTTTTTCTTTCAAAAATAAGGGCCAAAGAGAGAGAGAATATCGAAGAGATTAGAAAGAACGCAACGGAGCATGGTCAGAGAGCGCGCTCCCAAGAGCCAGAGAGGAAGGGGATGGCCTGGATAAGAGGCACTGAAAGTTTCGGCTGAGCAGGCCCCACGGAGGTGAGTCAGGCACGGTTTGGTGAAGTTACCTGGGATCAGTTTGAACCTGTTGGTCCTGGTGTAGTGGATCAAGTGCTGCCGGCCTCTGGAAGTGGACCAGATCAATGAACGGACTTCGCAGAAAGATCAGGATGGATAATGGATTGTGCTTCTCCCCTCCCCCCGCCCGCCCCTTTCTCAAAACCTGAGTTGGGGAGGAGTCGTAGAATATGGGCTGGAAGGGTCCTTGGGGGTCTTCTAGTCTGACCCTTGAGCAGGAAATCCTGGACCGGGGGCGTCAAACTCGCGGCCCGTGGGCCAGGTGCGTCATGCCCGCCCCCACTTTACTATAGGGGGGAAAGTCGCAATACGTCTTGTGGCGACAACGTTGTGAGTTTGACTCTCCTCCCCCTGGACCCTTCTGGGCAAAGGGTTACCCAACCTCTTCTTGAAAACCTCCAGCGATGGAGCGCCCACATTTGGCTACGCGCCCAGCCGTTCCCTTCATTCATTATTCCCACTGCCAGGAAATTTCCCCCCGATTCTAGGTTGGATCTCTCTTTTAACTAGCTCCCCCCCCCCCGGTCCCTTTCCTCCTTCTTCTTCCCTCGGGGGCTTTGGGGAACTGGCCAAGGCCTCTTCTCCGTGGCATCCTCTCCAAATCCCCCCCAATGCTCCTCTTCCATAGGCTAGACGTCCTTCCTCTTCCTGTTCAGTATCGAATGTCCTGCCTATAATTTGAAGGTGCTCTGACCCAAAGAAGGAAAGGAACCCCGAAGGGTAAGGAAGAGAGAGGCACCACAGTTTGGCACTTGGCAAGTAACAAAGAGATCAGACAAAAACGGAATCCTCTGACCCCAGCATGAATTTATCTAAAACCGATCTTGCCAAACTCACCTTGTGTCACTTGGCAGTCGTTTGCCAGAATGCTACACACCACACACACACAACGCACACACTACAAGTGACTGAGTGCACAACAAATATAAAACAAGTAAACAAGTAAAGCAAGCAGTGATTATTAAAGTTTAGAAAGCACAACTCGATTAAGAAGCTCAGAGCGCATTCCACAGAATTCTGATGATTTAGAATTGGTCCGTCCCACCTGCCGCTTACCTGATCTGTGGCAGGAAAGATTTCTTATAGGCCTCTTCGATGCTCTGCAGATAAGCGGTGGAGACTTTTTTCTCATAGGGCTTAAGACAAAATGCAGTTCATGAGAATAATTCCGTTACCCGACTTGATCAGATCCTATTTGTATGACTTTACGCTTTAGCCCTTGAATTTAAATTATTTATGGAAAAACCAAGGGTCTTTAAGCAAACTTCCTCCCTTCCCTTCCCTTCCCTTCCTTCCCTTCTGTTCCCTCCCTCCCTTCCTTCCTCCCTCCCTTCCTTTCTTCCCCTTCCTTCCTTCCTTCCTTCCTTCCTTCCTTCCTTCCTTTCCTTCCTTCCTTCCTTCCCTTCCCTCCCTCTCTCTATGTACTCACTACCTCTGTCATGGGGGATTCTAGGAAGTTCGTTACCAGCTGACCAGACACTTCAGGTGAGATCAGCTGGATCTGGAAGGGATCTATTTACTCCATACAGGGAGCTCCTTCCACAGAGAAGGTAAGAACAAATCCACCTCAGAGCTGCTGGGTTAAAAACAAGGAGCAACAGATACTGGAAGGCTGAGGCTACATTTAAAGTGGATTTGTCCCTGCTGAACAGTTTCAACCTCCACTTTAAGCCACAGGGACACAGCCAAACCCTCAAGGAAACCAACTGTTCTGTCCTGGAGCAAAATCCTGGTCGCAAACCGAGACACAAAGGCAGCCTTACCTCGCCTGTCTCGTCAATCCTTTTCTTAACTTCTGAGACAGGAACATCGATATAAAGGGTCAGGTGAGGAGGCAAAATCTCACAAATACTAAGATGCTTCATCCTGTAGTAGTGTTTCACACCTACAAAAAAGATTAGCGTACACATGCAAATAATGTATTCACCTACGGATGCATCGCATTTCAAGGAAAGCGGTGGACCTTTCAGTGGCAACAGAGCTCCGAGAAGGGGACGGGAACTTTGAGCGTAGGCTTATCCAAAATTGGGGGAAGAGAAGGTTAAAAAGACACCGGCCACCCTCGCTTCTCGGTCAAAGGGAGCCTTACTTACACCTTGGCTTAATGTAGCCTTGCTTCGACATGGCCTCCAGGAAGACGAAGTCGCTGTAGGGGGAGCGTTCCAGCACGACGCCTTGGCCTGAAACGGAGCATAAAACTTGATAGAGGGCACTCCAGCCTACACCAGTTTCACGTACTGAACGTTTTGCGTTCCCCGGTTTGCTGAGGCGGCTCATCTACCCCCCTGTGCATTTCTTTCGTTTTCCCGTTTCCTTTTAGGAAAATCCACTTTTTAGGAAAAGCAGGTTTCCTCGGGTTTATTTAATCAATGTGTGCGGCTGCCCACCTCAGCAAGTAACTCTGGAGAACAATACTAAAAATAAAATAACAAAAATTAAAACACGTGGCCCGTGAGAGAAACCCAACAGTCATTCACCACTAAGCAGGTGACAGGACACTCTCAGGGCCTGCGTCAGTGTCAGATCTCTGGGGCTGTGAGGAAGGCCGGCAAGTGGGGTTAACCTAATCTGCCCCAAAAGCAACTCCATCCAGAGTCCACTGAAGCTGCAGTGTGGCCGTTTCTCTACACCTGCCCTAAAAGAGGAAGGGCGAAACTTGTCCAGGGAAGCTTGGCTGAGGGTCATGACCCCTCGAGCAAGCAGCCTACCACGGCCTCTTGAAGAGGCCCAAACCCAATCGCACGTCCCTTCCCAGGCAGCCCGAACCAGCCAGGAAAAGCACGGAGCCACTGCAGAGGCGGCCCCAAAGTATCAAACTCCTGGCAAGATCCAACCCCGGCAATCTCCACTGAGCCTCCTTCATGGCTGGAGCCCAATGCAGAGCAAATCCACGGGGTCTGATCTGTCAGGTACCTGGCCTGTTCTTCACAACCCCCACGCAGCTGAACTCCAGAATTACCACTTCCTAAGGCAGTCTGGGTTACCCGAAAGAAAGTGGAAGACGGATCTGATCAACGGATGCAGAAAGAGTGGAGAAATAGGTACGTTTAGCCTCTCTTAGTATCAAGGGGTGGGTTCTAAACGTGGCTTTGGCCTGCACTGGTCCTTCGCTCCTGGCTGTCCGCCTGCAGAGCTCGAGGTATCCGTTCACCTGCTCTTCTCTGAGCCTGGCGGCCTTCTGGGGTCCACGGCTGTAGAGGCTGCTCAGGTGCAATCCAATTCAAAGTCGCAAGCAGCCACCAGAGTTTCGTCAGACCGTGCAGCATGTCCGCAAGCATGGCCATGTCCGGACCAACTGCGAGCTCCCTCTGAAACCCACGGAGTCCTGAAGTGGACCCATCCATCCTCCCTGCGGTTGGGGTTGATGCCAGAGAACTGCAAGCTTACTAGGCAGTGACCTGACCAGGATAGGGGAGAAATACCATCTCCCTTAAATCCATGATCGCTGGATGATCAGCATCCGGATGATCTGGGACAGTCCCACTACGGCTGTCCGGGTGGCTACGAGCTCCAGAGGGGGGGAACCTCTGGCCCCATTCCCAGAGAGGGCAGGTTGACGTCCCTGAGGCCATAAGCATCACCAACCTGGCCACAAACCGAGCAGCTCAGGCAGTGACCTTGCTACACAGAGCAATCCCAGTGGTTATTGGCTTCACTTCTTTACGTTAATGAAATGTTGAGAGATTACCTGTACTCAAGAGATGGTCGAGAGCTTCTATGTACTGTAGGAAGCGGGAACAGTACATCCAAACTTGAAGCCGGTAAGAGTTTCCGTTCGGATGCATAGGCTCGTTGTAAAAGGTCTCCAAGTAGCAACTGCCACTATATTTTAAATCTAGTATTTTCCCATCTCCCGTGAACCGGTCTAACAAATGAATAGTGGCTTCTGGGAAATACCGCAAACCTGCAAAGAACATCAAAAAGGCCAAATATTTTCCGATGCAGAGAATTAAATTCTTCCCAGATTCAGGTGAAATTGTCTTCTTTGAAGAGACAATCCTCTTCTTGTTACAGAGGAAGACAAGCCTCTTCGGAAAAAGAATACAGATAACCCTTGACTTGTTCAAAGTCGCATCATCACTGGGAAAAGGGACTCGTGGCCGTTTTATGACAGTCTGGCCACACTGCAGCCACTGCTTGCTATCTATAAGGGCTGTCGCGGTCACACGAGGACTCCTGAACACTGCAACTGTCACAAGTATAGCTGTCAAGCATCTGAATGCAAATCACGTGACCCTTGGGATGCTGCCAAGGTTGTAAGTGTGAAAAATGGTCATAAGTCCCCACTTTCAGTGCCATTGTACCTTTGATCGGTCCCTAAATGGACTGTTGAAGTCAAGGACCGCCTGTACTCTGCTATGAAAGCAACAGCCGTTATCTGTGTGCATACAGGTGCCATTTCCTTTCCTCTCAGCCACCCGGAAGCTTTAGGCAGGGACTCTCTCTTATCCCCCCGAGGGAAGGGACGACGCCCGCTCCGCTCCGGGCTCCGTTCCCGTCGGCCAACAAGGCTTTTTGCAAAGGCGACAGGAGGGTTGAGGGACGACGCAACCCTCACCCCTGCAGGCCTCAGCAAGCCTTGGCTCAAGGAGAAGAGAGAGGGAGGCTGGAGGGGAGTCGGCTCTGGGGACCATCAAGATCTACGCAGGGCAAGGGACCCAGTCAGGCGAGATGAGATCTCTCAGTGGGCCGGGGGAGGCCTTGGGTGGTTGGAAGCATTAGCCCTCTCCTCCCCCGCCCCAAGATACCTCGTGCACTTAAAGACCGGTGCGTTCGACTAGTGAAGGGGGGGGGGCGGAAGCAGGGAGTGATCACATTCAAGTTACACGATTCACTCCTACGAATCCTCCATTTACAGACGTCATTGGCAGGCTCCATGACATTCATAACTCGAGGACTACCTGTACAATGCAGAGTTTAGCCACATCCAGCGGCCCACTACATACCCAGGGCTTCTGCCACTTGTTGGGCGAGTTTTGCTGTGCCGGAGTACAGATTGCCCTCCACTGTGAAGATTTTGCTGTGTTCAGTGAACTTGGCGCTGGCTCTGTCTCCCAGGACATACGCAGTCCAGCCGTACTGAAGGTTCCTGCGAGGATTGACCGGAAGGTTCCCCTGGGGGGGGAGGGGGAGGAGGTCTGTCAAGCACACATTTGCGTTTGACAATAGTCCATGCACACATTTTTTTTCTTTTGGGGGGGGGGGGAAATGCAGGTAATTCTCAACTTACGACCACAACTGAGCACAAAATTTATGTTAAGTGAAAAATTTGTTAAGTGAATTTGTCCCATTTCATGACTTTTCTTGCCAATATTTGTTAAATGAATCACTGCAACTGTCATAAAGATGAGTCAGTTGTCTGGCTTCTGAATGTAAATCATGCAACCATTGGGAGGCTGCAATAAGTGCGAAAAATGGTCATAAGTCACTATTTTCAGTGCCATTGTAATGGTCACTAGATGAACTGTTGTACTTTGAGGACCACCTGTAATCTATCAAGGAGAGGTTTAGAAATCATGGTTTAATCAAAAACATAAACAGAAGAAACATAAAAGGTGAGACACCCTAAATAATAAAATATAGTCACCAGACCTCTGTCTTCAAATACAAAATAGTTTCAAGAGACACATTATAAGCAATTAAAATCAATGGCCTGATCAATTTAAACTACCACCAGGCTGGGAGGAATAAAGATCAGTAGCTGACAGCATAATTCTCACCAATACTCCGAAATGACTTTTCAAACTAATCACCAAGTTTCTCTGTGTTTCTAAGTGGTTGTATTGCAGCTATTAAGAGGCACCCTGAGCATCTACTGCCAATGACTGACCACAACCTGACTGACCAAAGGATGAAGTGGGGAGTGGCTATCTTTTCAGCCAAGAGGAAGTACACCCTCTTGAAATAAACCCATCAATAAATCATCTCTGTGGCTGTGCCCAGTTTGGAACATCCCTAAGGATGTTTGGCCCATACAGCGCAGTTCAAGACTTTACCTTCCCACAAGGTGTTTGCATTGATTTAGGACAGCGTTATATTATGAATGTTGCTTCCATGAGTTTACTACGTGAGTTTGTTTGTAAACTACCTTGAGACTCAGGCATTCTGTAAAAACGTATTCAAAAACCGGTATCAATTTCTACTATTTAATTTTGGTTTCTACCTCATTCTATTGGTCCTTTGTGTTAAAGCTTTATTGATGACCTACGTTGAATTTATCAGATTTTTATCCTGCCTTTATTAATGTATAAGTAACTCAAGGGGGTCTACATTCCTAACACTCCTTCCTCCTGCCCTTCCCCCACTGTGAGGAGAGCTGGGCTGAGGGAGTGAACTGCTTCCATCTTTGTCAGCTTTTAGGACCTAAGCAAGTGCTTGAACCTTCGCTGTTGTGCTGGTCACTGTTACAGGGCACAGAGAGCCTTATTATCTGGCCTAAGAGCTGCGGAGGTGACCGAGGGCCACTGGGGCAGAACGGAGCCCGGGGCTGCTGGGTGACCTGGGAGCCTGGCCGGGGGGGCTTAGCTTCAGCGCCTGCCCTCACCCCAACCTCCGCTGGGGGCAGAGGGGGGTCTCCGGCCTTGGCTTTGCTGGCTGAGGGACTCTGGGAGTTGAAGGCCACAAGTCTTAAGGCGGCCAAGGTTGGGGAGAGACCCCTGCCCTGTGACGGAGGGGGTCCCCCCCGAGGGTCCTGCCTTGGGGTGGGGCTGTGGGGGGAGGCTGGGCCACCTGCCCTGCTGGGGCTTCCAGCCGCCCAAGGCCACCTCGGGCTCGGCGTGTGCCGGTGGGAGGCGGGGGGGGGGCTGGACCCCCCCCCTCTAACCTCCCGCCTGGCCGGGTACCTGGGATGAAACCAGGCCGCCCCCCCGTTCCCCCCCCGCCGGGTCTCCCGGGCAAGAGGCCTCGGACTAGGCGCGGCTGCCGGCCTTCCCCGAAGCCGCGCAGGGCCAGCGGCGCAGGCAGAGGAGGGAACCCACCGGCGGCCCGAGGGCAGCGAGCGGGAAGGGGCCGCCGGGCTCCCCGCCGGGAGGGCGACCTTGCCCCGCCGGAGCCCGGGCGCCGCGGGGGGAGCCTGGCCCGGCCGCGAGGGCCCCTCCCGCCCCCGCGAGCCCCCCCGCGAGCCCCCCCGCCCCGCTCACCAGCCTCCCGGCGAGGCGGGGCGGCCGGGCGCGGCCCGCGCGGAGCAGCAGCGCAGCCAAGGACATGGCAGCCGGGCGGCGGCGGGCGAGACCCTGCCCTCCCCCGTCGCGCGCTGATGACGCGTCCCGGCGCGGCGCGGGGGGATGGCGTGGCGGCCATGGCGCTGCTGGGCCGCTTGGGCGCCCTCCTGCAGCGGGCCGTGGAGGCGGTGGGTGCGGCGGGGGGGGGGGGGGGCCGGGGGCGGGGGGGGGGGGGGGGGCGGCCGGGGAGGGGGGGGCGGCGGCGGCGCCGGGGGTCGCCTGACGGGTCCTTCTCTCCCGCTGCAGGAGGAGCCGCGCCTCGACCTCCCGGCCGCCTTCACGGAGCACTGGAAGGGCGTCACCCAGTATTACCTGGAGGCCTCCGGTAGGCAGGCGGCCCTCGCTCCGGCCGAGCGCGGGAGGGGAGGGGGGCCTGCCTGGCGGTGCTAAGGCTCCGCAGGGGCCTCGGGGCGGGGGGGGCCCACGGGTCTGGCGGGGGGGGGGGGGGGCTTGTAAGGGGGGCCGCCTGCGCTGATGCTGCGCCTGCCTCTCCCCCCAGACGAAAGGAAGCCGGTCAAGCAGACGGACATTCCCTGGCGCCTGAAGCAGATGCTGGACATCCTGGTCTACGAGGAGAAGCAGCAGCTGGAAGGGGAGACGGGCCCCTGTCTGGAGTACCTGCTGCAGCACAAGATCCTGGAGACGCTCAGCACGCTGGGGAAGGCGGAGGTGGCTCTTGCTGGGGCTCCCGGGCTCCAGAAGGGGAGCAGCGGGGCGTCCCTTCCCCTGTCATAACTCAGACCTTCCTTTGCCTGAATGGAAAGGCCCCTTTGTGGCTCTGGCCTCCTTGGCCCACTTCCCAGGAGCCCTGGGGGGGAGGGTCGCTTTCCTTTCCTAGATGCCTCTGTCAGTTGGGGTAGGGTTGACCATGAAGATTTGCCCGAGGTGGCCCCCAAATCGTACATTGAGACCCAGACAAGAGGTCACTTCAGACCGTAAGGCTGATCATTATTCTGCCGCAGGCTGTGTGACGATTGCCCTTGGCTTGTGCCTCCATCCCGAGGCTTCTTTTCAGTTTAACGTTCGGCAGATTATCATTGTGTTGCATTAGCATTTAAGGCAGCCAAGTAACGTAGTCATTGATGGAAAGCTTTAACAAACTCTTCCTAATGCGGGCCTTGTTTCTCTGCTTCCGACAGTATCCTCCGGGAATGAGGTCCCAGGTGCTTCTCTTTTTCAGTCGCCTGCTGGGGCAGATGCAGAGTCCTCTCATGCATTACTTCAACGTTTACCGGCCTGTTCAGGTGATGGCCCTTTTTAGGAACTCAGCAATTGGCGTGTTCATTTTGAAAATCGACCATTCTGCCAAGGGAGCTGCTTCCTAGTGACTGGAAAATGTGTCCAGCTTTAGTATTTTAAAGCATCTCTGAGGCTTACTGGGAGATGCTCAATATCTTTCTTTTTTTTGCAGAAACTTATTCAGCTTCAGGGTGATGCTTTGGGCCCTGAGCCCGAGAAGGAAATGCTACAGTTTATTGCTGTTTTGTGTACCAAAGTCAGGCAAGAACCTGCTCTGCTGCCATATGTCCTAGAGGTAAGGGATTGTTGGGTGCACTGGTCCTTTTCACACTGTGTATCCGCCCTGCCAGGCTAGGTTCGGTCAGAAAACAAACTGCCCAAGAAATAACTAGAATTCTATTTTATTGAAACAGTTTGTAACAACTGAACTTTGAACGCCTGACGTCATTTCCCCTTCCCTCCCTCTTATACCAAAGAGAGCCAAGACAGAGCATTTGTTTCTTTCTCATTCTGTCCTGGTTTCCTAATTCCCTGTTTTGCTAATGGTCTTCAGATACCATCTCCACAGTCATTTCCATGTTCCTCAGGGCTTGGTTGCTGTAGGTTTGCCTGTGGAGAAGAAGGTGCCAAGATTGGGCTACAGCTCCTCCTCCTCCTCCTCCTCCTCCTCCTCCTCCTCCTGTAGCTGCAGCCTTAGGCAGCATCAAGTTATGCACTTCGGAGTTGCTGTGCAACTGAATGTGGGATTAGAAAGGCTTCTTCATTGCACTGCCCGCTTCTTTTCCATTCAGAAAGGACTTTTGCTAGATTTTTGAGTTTCCTGACTCTTCTGTGCAAGAAGGACTAGATGCTGTCTCAGCATACGCATTCTGGCTCAAATTGCCTGGATTTTCTCTCTCTTTTGGTTGTAGGGATTCGGGATTCCTGGGTGACTTGTCTTAGAAAATAGAACTGGTCCATTTTTTTTGAAGGGTTTCGGTAATCGCTACACGCCATCATTCTAGCAAGATCAGAATATTGTATCTTGCTGAGCTTAGTTGTGGTCATTTCTTAAACGTACATGCCTCCCATCTCACTTTTAAGGTGACTCTTAGTGGCTTACTAGTGATAAAAAGTTAAATATAAAAGCAATTTCAAGAGTGATATAAAACTAGAACCAAATGCTTGATTTGTCAATCCACCTTGACCTGACCTGCGCTCTCCTTCCTCTCCCCTTTGCTTTCAAGGGCCGGGATGTTGGTTCGCTGGGATTGGCAGCTAAGCCAGGCACGAGCTCTGGCCAGTCCCTGCCCTCTTCTGGAGACCAGGGCAGAGGGCTGTGTCCAGAGAAACCACTCGGAAGGGACTTGGCTGCTTCCGTGCTGAATTTGGTGACTTCTCTAATCGGCTTATGTCAGAGCAAGGTATGAAACAAGCAGTGCCGGTAGCTCTGGGGCCCCCGATGGCCATGCCTCCTGCAGAGCAGATAGGATGAGCTTGTCCCTCCCTGACTCTTCCCTTCCACACACTGAGGGGGGCAGGAGGGGGAGGAATGGAAGCTGCAGGAATTGTCTTATTTTTCCTCCTGGCAGAACAAGAAGGTCGGGCTAAAAGCCCGAGAGAATCTGCTGCTCCTTACCAGTGTGGACCATCCAACCGCTGCCCAGGCTTTGGCCCAAGACAGCATGCTGTGCCTTCTGCTATCCGACCATCTCTGCTCCCTGTACGAGGCCATCCCTGGTACCATCAACCCTGCGGATATTGCTACGTTTCCACCCGTCCAGTGGAGGTACAGAGCTCTTAAAATGTTGGGCCGCAATTTCTGCTGCTGAGATTTTGGAACCTGTGCTGCTCACTCGACCCTCTCCGCCTCCCACTCTGCCTTTTGTGCACCCCATACCCCCTCCCTGACCCATATCCTTCCTGCACACCCCCTCAGCCTCTCTCACACCGCCTTGCCCTCCTCCTGGCTGTAGCCTCATCACCCGGGTGAATATATTGGTAAGCAGAGCAAACAGGAGGATGAAAACACTCCGTTTCTCCGAGTCGGACTCCTCCTTTCTGCCCCTCGCAGCAAAAGGATGATCAGGTGTCCCTGGGTTGACCCGCCTCTCTCTTGAACCTGCAGGCTTCAGAGCGACGCCTCGGCGGAGGAGAGCTCCTTCCCAGGAAAACCCAGCCTGGAGGCTTTCTTTGGCTGGCTGGATTTTTGTGACTGCCTCTTGAAACAGGCTCATCCCGTAAGAAACTTTCTCTCCTGTTCTTCTCTCTGTGCCTCTTCCCTCTTCCTCCTTGGCCTGGCCTCAAGGCCCAGGGGTGGGGTGGGAGGAGCGATCGATGGTGGCTGTGTTCCCCCTCAGGTTATCAGAGACGCCCTGAGCGCGACGGTGGGACGGAGGCTCTTCCTGGAAACCTTGCGGCCTCAACTCTTGCAGACGTGAGTTTGGGCTGAGCAGACGCTTGGCGGCAGGTGCCTCGTTGCCAGGGAACGCTGAGGGCGGGGAGCACAGCCAAGCGCAGCCCTTTTTGGCTCAGTGGGTCCTTTCTTGGCAGGTCAGACTCTGGGATTCTCTTTTCAGTAGCCATCCTGACAGGCCTGGTGAGGGGGATCCGTGCGCCTGCCCTCCTGCAGCAGCTGGTTGGGTTTCTGCTGGGACCAGAAATGGATCCCGCCGGCCCCAGCGCTTCAGCCTGCGGGCCACAGAGCCTCTGCTCCCGGCTGATTGAGAACTGCAGCCACCTGTCCGATGAGGTGAGCCGCTCGCCAGTTGCTGCACATCCCTTCGGCGAGAGCTGCAGTCTCAGCCCTCGACGCTTGGAACGCCTGGAATTAGCTCTGCCCCAGGGAGCTCCTTCCTCCCCCTCCTCGCTGAGGCCCGGAGCCTTTGAAAGGAGAGCCGGGTTTGCCACTTCGCAAGGAAGGGCCAGCCCTTCCCTACGGGGGTCTTGACCAGAGTCTGCTGTGCCTTTTGACTGAGAAGTGGGGGGGGGCGCTCTGGGGAGTTGTGGCCCAGCTCGAGATGCCAGTTTCCCCCAGGACTCCGGATCCTGCTGCCGACTTAAACCGCGGCAGAGCACGAGGAGGAAGCTAGCGGAAAGAGGGTCTCGGCTCGGCGGTTGGAGCCCGTCGGCCATTTCCACCCCAGCCAGCTGCTCGCCCTCTCCTCCTCGCTGCAGGTCAGCGTGGCCACGCTGCGGTTGTTTGAGGCGCTGGTTTGGCTTCCTGACCAGCGCATCTTGCAGAGCCTGGTGCTGCGCCATCTGGAGGAGCGCAGCTATGCCTTGAGAAGCCCCCAGGAGGACCCTGCCGTCCCGGAGCAAGAGTTGTGTGAAGAGGGGCTGTAAGTGACCTGGGGAAGGAGCGGGGGTGGGGGAACCACTGGGTGGCCTCCACGTTTGCAGCTGGCAAGGAAGCGTCTCCAGGCTGACGCCTTTTACTGATCTGAGCCACTTCCTGAAATCGCGTGTTGGGTCCCCAGCACAGAGGCCTGGCGTTTGTTTCCAGTGCCCCGCAGGGAGCGCAGAGCCTTTCCTCTCGCTTAGAGTGAGTCAAGGGCAGGAGAGAAGAAGACCAGGGAGGGAGAACCTCCTTCGGCCCGCTTGGACTGGGCTGACCTCATCTTTGTGCTCGAGCAGCGGCTGATGAGCCTAGATCCCCAGGGCCGATTCGCGGAGCGGCACGTGCTGCCCGTCAGCTCCCCTTAGGCAGCAATGCTGAAGTTGATCTTTGTCGTTAAAGGTGGCATTTTTGCTCACTTAAGTGTAACTTTGACAACATGGTGAAGGCTGGCCTCTCCCTCTCCCTCTCCCTGCAGGGAGATGGAGGAAGATCCTTACTTTGCAGATGGACTCCCAGTGGCTGTGCTCCAGAGGCCAAGCAGAGCAGCCCCCCCTCTGGCTCCAGAGGAAGGGCCCGGCCAGCCAGAGGGGCCTGTGGATGTGAAGGAGGCGGTCAGCAGGTACGGCTTCTAGAGAGTTGCTTGCATCCCTGTTTGGGATATGAAGTTGCGAGACCACTGTAGGCAGGATGGCAGAGACGTAGTCCCTGCGTTACTGAGTTATGCATCGGAAGGAGGTTGTGTGAGAGAGTATCGTGCATAGGTAGTCCTTAACCTATGTCTGGTTGGATAATGACGCTCACAGAACTGGTGTTTTGCAGCCCATACAAGTTCTTCCAGGTATGGTAAGACATTGCACTGCCTTCCCTGCAGTCACCCGATCAGTTGCCCAGTGCCCTAGGGCCAGGTGATCGCCATTTGCCCTCTTTCCTTGAAATCTGTCCGCACTGCTGGCCGGAATTCCAGAAGGTTCTGAGCCTCAGGGCTTCCCAATGCTGCAACACGGAGCCGTTCAGTGCACGTGGCGCACGGCTTGGTTGTCGTTCAGCCTGGAGATTTTATCCAGGGGGGAAACGAACAGAGGAATCGGCCAACAGGGAGCCCGCAGCCAGGGTCAAAGTGCAGAGGAGGAAGAAGGGCGACCAGGCGGGAGGTGGAGTTCTGCAGAGCGCTGACCACCCTCTTCTTTGTGGGTTTTTTTTTAATCCAGCTTCCTTTGCCTGGTGCCCAGTGAAGTGAAGACCTCCCTGTATCTGGAGGAGGCAGGATATGACACTTACGTCCATGATGCTGAAGTACTGGTGAGTCCAGTCTCCCCCTGCTGCATCCGAAATAAGGGATTGGTTTGTTTTTCTGAACTCCAGGGGTTGGTTGCATTGATCGGTGTCCTGCCCAACGACGACCAAAATGCAGCTTCCAGGTCTGGTTTGAAGTGTTGGCTCTTGAGTTTCTACAGGGCTCCTTCCTGACGACGTGGCCTGTGAACCGCAAAGGTCCCCTCCTCACCTGAAGGGTTTGGGGCCCAGCAGCAGGGAGGGATCTCTGGCAGCCCCTGTGCTGTGCAGCACCGTTCGGCCTTTTGTGGGTCACTTAAAAGTTCTGTAAATCATGTCATACAGAAATGGGCAAAATATAAAACAAAAGAATAAACATCCGGACCCTCCAAAATCCAACGAATCCTCTCTTCTTGCAGTTTCAAGAATGCTGTGCGAAAGTTGCGCACTGGACGTGGCCCCAGGTTCAGCCGCCCCCAAAGACCAGCCCCACGGGACCCCAGTTTTACGAGGGCCGTTTCCTGCAGGTGCTCTTGGACCGGCTGGCCCAGATCTTACACCAGGTGGGATGCTGAGGGGCACAGCTCCGGTCACAGCAAGGCAGGAAGAGGCCCCAGTTCATTGTGGGGAGGCAGCTTTCAAGGAAAAGGGGTCCTGGGGGGACACCCCAGGCCTGACCACCTGCCCTTCCAAGGTGGAGAAGGTGGCGCAGTGCAGCCCTTGTCCTGGGTGGAACCTGCTGCCAGTGGCGGATGGTGAATGAACTGCTGCGTCAATGAACTCTCTTCCCCCCTTGGCAGCCCTACGCAGTGAACCTGCAGGTGACGTCGATGCTGTCTCGCTTGGCCCTCTTCCCTCACCCTCACCTCCACGAGTACCTCCTGGACCCCTACCTCCCATTGGCCCCCGGCTGCAGGACCCTCTTCTCGGTGCTGATTAGGGTAACATTTGGCCTGGCGGGTCGAGCACAGGCTGGGTGGGAACTCTGGGTGCTGTGAGGCGGTTCCAGAGGGGCCCAGCTACATCCTCTCTGGCTGCCGCTGAGAAGCTCCCGGGATCCTCCCCCCACCGGCCTCTTGGCTCTTTCTCTCCGGCCAGGTGATTGGCAGCCTGATGCACACGGCTCATCGGATCCCAGACTTCTCGGCCAACCTGCTGCTGGTCCGGAGGAAGCTGATGGGGCTGGCGTCAGAGGAGCCCCCGTAAGTGGCCCAGGGAGGACGGGGTGGTTCTTCCGCTCAGCTTGTGCTTGGCTGGAGCCCATTCAGGCCCCTCCGGGCCCCTGCCTGCACGGCTTCCACAGTCCAGGGCAGGCCCAAGACAAAGCAGAGGCCGTGGCCCAGAGGAGGCTGCCTCAATGGCAGCGGCTGTGTTCCAACAGCAGGGACCTGCCTCGGAGGAAGGGGGCACAGCCTGAAGCCCCTGGCGCCAGGCAAGAGCAGCAGCGACTCCCGGAAGCCGCTCGTCCTACCCGGAGGCCCCGAGGGGGGAGGGCAGCTGACCACAGCCGAGGAAACGTGCCCTTTTTGGTCTCCCTAGGGTCAGCCACCAGATGCTCTTGGAGGGGGTGATTGTGCTGGAGGAATTTTGCAAAGAGCTGGCCGCCATCGTCTTCGTCAAGTCTGCCCTCCAGGGGCCTCCTGGGCAGAGCCAGCCACGGCCCCCTTCGCCCAGCTGAAGGCTCTCCGTCGGCCCCCCGCCTCTTCCCCGAGGCCTTCGGCAGCTGAGAGCCACACCGTTGCTGACTTCCTGCGTGGAGAGAAAAGCAGCCGCCGGTTCTTGGCGCAAAAGTGGCTCCACGTAAGGAGAGGCGGTTGGGAGGAGAAGCGGTGCGTTGCTTCGTCAGCTCCCGCACAAAGTGCCCTCAGCGGTCTTCCTGGATTATGCCGGGACCTCGTCGCCTGCCTTCTGGTGCTTGTGCCAGCTCTGGCCTGGTCCTCTTTCCAGAAGTCGTCTTGGCACCTTCCCCGAGAACAGAGCGCTCCAGATAAAACCCCTGGATTTTACGGCTTCTAAAAAACAGTCGCAAGATGGGGCTCTTTTCAGCTTATTTTAGCCAGCAGGACTACATTATGGAGGTTCTGGTCATTTTCTGCGCTGCATGGATTTGGGGATCTGCTGCTATAACTTCACCTCCTTCTTCTGCTCGCTGCTCTTGTCGCACTTGGGACCCTCCTCAATGCAGCGAAGTGACCCTCTTCTCGCCCACTTTGCTTGGCGACTCGGCCGAGGGCTCCCTGCCAGGACTTGTTTGGGACAATGTCTTCCATCAGTCTAAAGATTGATCCGCCGTGCCACCTGACCCCCCCCCCCC